ATAGATAATTGTATAAAGCACTTAGTATTGTGTGGAAATTACTTTACTTACATAAATATTTATTATATTTTGAATAATCTCTTTAATCTGTATTAATTTTTTCAAGCAATCTTTCGATATATATCGTGGTAAACCAAACATCACGACATAAAGCGTATTAGAAAACGATTAGTTATTAGTTTAAATCACCTCGAATGAGCTAAGATAGCTCAATTTTGATAATGCAGATGAACCGTTTGTATAGGGGAGGACTTGCGGAAGAAAGAAAGGATTGTGGTGGTATATGAATCTGTTAAACGTAGCAGTTAATTCTTTCGGGGGGGAGGGGAGAGAGAGAGAGAGAGAGAGAGAGAGAGAGAGAGGGAGAGAAGTGTTTAACGCAGGCACTTCTCTCGATGAGGCGCGTGTATAAATATGCAAGGAAAATTTACCCGCACCATGGCATGAGTTACCACGAGGAGGGCTACTTGTATAGGGGCAAAAAATAATGTACAGGGTGATTTATTCAACCTGAATATAGCAGCTACAATGTTTGATATTTGTGATACTTTTAAGAAAAATTGGATTGCTCTTAATTATAAAGGCATCAGCTTTGTGTTTTATTGTTTTCATACACAAAAATACCTTTATCTTTATTAAAACAAATGTATATCTTTTTGTGTTTTTTTGCATTTAACAAGATCAAAATAAATCCATTAAAATATTGTTTTATATTTCAAGGTAGCTAACGGAATAGTTAAAAGAAGAAACCTGCATAAAAAGAAACCTGCAGTTATAAGTGAACCACCCCATAGATTCAGTCAGCCAGCGAGCGAGAGAGAAAGTTACAGCGTGATAAAGAGACGAGATTATAAGGGAATGAGAGGAAGAGAGGGACAGTCGGTGGCACAAAGAGGAAGGGTGCAGGGTGCTTAGGATCGATAGATATATAGAGGCAGAAAGGAACACAGGAAGCGTCTGACACCTGGGAAACTCCTGGGGATTCTTACGAGGTGATTCAACTCGAACTAATAAGCAAGTTTTTCAATACCGATCGATAATTCGATCATGCGTTTGATTTCTCGAAACAGAACAGTGTAATGTTAAAATGAATAAACATATATGTGGGTTATGTGTAACGAGTACATTGAAAGAATCAATTAATTATATATATTATATATAAATAAATCACGGATTAAGTTACAAAATTTTTAAAAGAAATATCTTTATCTTTTTTTTTATTAACTATTAAATGATAGTTTAACGGATAAAACTTTCCATATTTTTAATATTTTATAAAGACCAAAAAGAAAACTCAAGTTAATGGATAAGAGATTTTATGCTACATTATGTACGTGTTATCCATGTTGTGCAGATATTCTAGATTATCCAAATTTGAAGTTAAACATCAGAAACGCGCGGGCTTCAGGTTTTGACAGCTCAAGTACAAGCGATTAATTGGCCTGCCATCATCGTCGCTTTACTGTCCTTTGCAGCGCATGACCAGATGATCGTCATAAATACTCACAGTTAAATTACCATAAATCGTCGATGAAATTTTTGACTATCTCATCTTATTGTTTATTAGAAATTTATAGAGACAAAAATTTGAGAACAAAAAAATAGTTATATATGTTACATGTATATAAGATCGCGAGTACCTATATACGTATATGTTTGAAGATTCGTGAAATATTCGACTAGGGATAGCCGAGATTAACCCGACAATTTTATGGCGACAGTAGGGATATCCGGCACATGTCGGGAGATGAATATCACGCTAGAATGGTACAGACACAGTTTATCCGCACTGTCAACTCGGCGGATTAAATTCCGATGCAATGTGGCCGTCTGTGAAATCCGGGAGTTACGATTAGCTCTAAAATTTTACAGAGTTAAATTTTTAAAACATAAAGATCGTTGTACTTGTAAATCATTGTACTTTTGTATAATGTTCGCCTTACCGCAAAAATCAGACAGGGAATTTTAAAAAAGTATTGTAAAAGATTTTGAAAAGCGTGACATTTATATCATAACATAATATGGATATGTGTGATACAAATGTGTAAAATAAAAATGTCTGATATTTTCTAAAAAAAATATATATATATACAGAGTGTATCATTTTAAGTTATTATTACTTTAAGAGATATTCAGCTGAATCACTTAAAATGATACACTCTGTATATATAGGTATACATTATTTTGAAATATTATAAGAACTGCAACCGCACTCTTTTAGAGTGCGTGAATATGATATTCTTCTTATAGGGATGAGTAATACATAAAAGGGAGGCGCAAAGTGTTAACATATCGAAGCAAGCAGCAGATACTTGAAGCACCCCCGGCCCTATGACTCCTCCGCTTTTCATCTTCTCCTCTCATATCGTTTCCACTTTCCCTCTTTGACAAATCTTAATCTTCCATCAGGAACGCATCTTTGATCTAATTTCTCTTTTAGAAAAAAGAACTTTGAGTTTTCTTTATGATAAGTTTAAGATAACTATTGATATTAGGTAACATTAATGACATAATATGTCTGCCCTGGTGATTATGATGTTGCGTATATGTTACCATAATGGATGCACCATACATCTGTGCGCGTTACACGCATCGAGAGTGCAATGTATGTAACGCAGTTTGATTTATGCAGCTGCTAAATGCGATCTCTATTAAGCGTATACTTTGTATATGGACTCTAGAGTGTGGTAAATCACGAGGGTGTAGCACCGGGTGCTCTCCCACGGGATATATTAATATAATTGTGTCCCAAAGTACCAAGTTCGACACCGTCGATGTTCGGCCGAACTTCAGAAATAATTAACAGTCTGACTCCGCATTTCTTAGCTCGACTGGCATCATCTGTCATTTAGGAACAAATCGCCTGTTTCATCTACAGATTAAATTTATTAAAATAATAAATAGCTTAATTAATTTGTTTCCGGACAAAGATGCGAGAGCGTAACGCGTTTTCTAGTGTAATGCTACAACGACAGTCGATGAAATAAAAAAAAACTTACGATAATTCATTCCTAATATTTCAAGAATATTTCTTTAAAGTTATATGTTAGAATTTGATAATTTAACAAAGATTTATTATAATTATTATGGCTATATATATGTTATATGTAACATAATTTATTACACATATATATCCAAGTAAACATTGACGATAATATTTTACTTGAAAGTTCGTACCGAGGCACGAAGTCTCTTGAATATTTCAAATATTTTGCACATATAAGTAATCAGAACCTTATTACAGCTCATCTTCTTCGTAAAGTACAAATTCTTCTCGCAGAGAACGTACTCGGGGGTTGCTTCAACAAAGAGGTAACAACCACCCTCATAAGCGTGACAACTCACGTGTCTGCCCACGCAGTAACTCGTGCATACACGTGAAACCGAGCACGTGAATAGGGGAGCGGGCTTTGATTCGGACTTTCAAGCGACTCCACGAGAACTTTACGAGGAGTACAACGGTACAACGAGGGTCGGTGGTGCTCTCTCCACATGTAGAAGACCTCGGGGAAATCCTAATATTTTAACCAGCGCCAGCGGCGAGGTAAAGGACTCGCGCGAGCAGAGCACTGAAAGGGAAATGGGGTGTTGTGCTGCGAGTCATCCCTGCGTCTACCCTCGTAGACGACCGTCTACATACGTACATATCCGTATGCGGTATGCTTCCCCTGGAGGGAAGTACTTGCAATTAACGCGGTAAGTCTCGGCTATTGCAAGGGGTGCGCCGCTCCTTCACCGGTCACCCTTATTCTCGGGTTCTTTCGGCTCCGATTCCCATTCCAAGTGAGCTTGGACTACTCGGAGGAGACGAGCTGGAATCTGCGCTCAGTTATTTGTCAGCGACACGTATATAATTTTCACACTTGTAACGCGTAATAATGCGACACAATATATTGTTCGTTATATTAAAGAATGTTTTGCGCGCAAACATTCTCTCTCTTTTTCTTGTGCTTGTAAACGATCTTCATTTTCCTTCAACGAGATTGCGCGAGCATATTCTTGATGTGTCCATTCGAGGGTGGACTTTCTTTCCCCAGGGACCCCAGGCCGGAAATGCGACTTAGTCATCGACTGTCCTTTGTGCCGCTACTAAGTGCAGACCCGTGTAAAATTCTGACGGTACGGTCATCTCGATTCTCGAATTTTCAGATATCTCTAATATTATATAAAATAAATATCATCATTTACATACGGCTTCAACTGCAACAACCTTACATGAAATTGCGAACAACGATCCTTAAACTAAATCTCGATTTTTGCTTAATACATTACCCGTATATAGAAAGTGAAATAACTATTTTGCTTTTCTATTTTCATGTTTATTTTCAATTGCCATAACTGTTTCATGTTAAATTAAATGGAATTATTTGTCAAAGACAATATATCCTTTCCATCTCGCGATAATGAGGACGAGAGTAGTTTAGGTCCGCGTCTGAGTCGACAACCCCTTATATAGTTTCCGTCACAGTCAGTTAAAGCGTTGACAGTCGAGCGAGTTACATCAATGACAGTGGAATGCAGTTCCGGCATTCCATTTCTGTCGCTAGCAGAGAAATCACATTTTATCGTTTGAGACGGAAACGACTCTCTCTCCATGAGACGACAATATAGCTTTAACTTTGTTGCGAGGTATTATTACTCGTTCCAACCGATAAATGGAAAGTGCTAAATGTTCGGCATACATATTTTAACTGTCAACTTATCGGACCCAATTAAACGCACGTGCCGCCAATAAAACAACAAACAAAATACAATAACTAACGAGATTAGGCATCGTTATTCATTATGCAGAAATTTTAATATTTTATTTCTGCTTTCAAATAAATCTTTTTTGCAACTAAAAAATAAATAACATATAAAATAAATAATATAGATATATATAATAGAAAAGTATATTGTATACAATTTGCACATTATATTTATGTTTGTTTCGCAGCATTATTTTGTTTATATAAAATTATCCAAAAAAAAAACAAAATAAAAAATTTGTGTGTGTGTGTGTGTGTTTTATGTTACACATATAAATATATTATATATTACCTATGTATAACGTAACTTGGAGAGCCAGCTCGAGGTACAGTAAATCACTTTTTAATAGGAAGAGTGGAAAGGACGGAAAGGGCTATTTAGTGCCTTCTGAATAAATTAAAATTAGCACCAGAAAAAAAAGACGAGCTATAAACACCGTCGCATGACGGAGAATTCACTCAACCACGAACGAAAGCCCGGACGCGAACCATCGGCAATCGCCTTTGTACCGACGTTGGCGGCGCCGGCGTCGCGACGCCACCCCCGCATATCGCACACTCTACCACCCCGAAGGTAGACACGCGGCTGCTTCCTCCGTCACGTTTTCCCGAGCCCTGTCTGACACCCTCCCGCCTTCGGTCGCCTTCGGTCGGTGGTGGTCGGTGATGGTCGGTGGTGGTTCCCCATGCGCGCAGAGGGCGGAAAGGGTCCCCCGTTCGCGGGCGTGGGGTTGCGCGCGCACTATCTACCCCCTCTGGGTGTCCGGTACATAATCGAACTGGGAGCGCCGTGGTGGCCGTCGTCAGTTCCGTAAGACGGGGCTAAATTTCATTTCTAAAATGAGAACATAGTTTAGCTAAAACGAGAGAAGATCGAGCCGATGTAAAAACGCGAAACGCGGAGTGAGGGAAGGTTTCGTCGTGATAGGGCTTCCTCGTCGTGATACAGAGAGCTCCGATCTCCGATCTCCGATTTACAGCCCGGCCGCGAGCGCAATCACGCCGCTTATCGCTGAATTGTAACGATATCTCTTCGATGCACGAGTGCACGCGGGATAGAATGATAGTACGACTCGAGGAAAGGAGGGTAATCTCTCCTCCAAGTTTATACGCGCCAGCCTGATCCGAGTGTGTCTAAGATATCGCCAAACCGGGCAAACTCCACGTCAAGTCAAATTCGTCGTTTCGCGAGTGCCAAGCAGTAGTAGAGTGGATATCGTCGGCGAGAGTTAAGTGGGATTTTGGTCGTGAAGGGTTGGCGGAGGAGAGCCGATCGCGGCCGATTTCGTCGGGGTTCAGCCACGTTCCAGCCACGTTCCAGACGAGACAGGATACCGTGAGGTCTCTCCTCGAATCACAATGGCGCCCAACTCCGTGTTCGTGGAATCGTGGCCGGTCACGATCGACTGATGGAACAGCAGCAGGCATCTTCATGGCATTCTAAATATCGACGTAAATCATAAATATCCCCCTGTGTCTATCCGTGTCCGCTCGATGCCGCGCTAATTCAAATGAGCGGACTACAAGCTAATCGTCGTTCCCTAAAACGTCTCCGGTAGTCTCGACGGTGTGCGGTGCACGGTGCACGGTGAAAGAGGCAACATGAAAAGAATTCGCAAGAGGCATCCGCCAAAAATAAAAGAAGATTATGTCAGATCGTCACAGTGATAATGCGTGTAGTGAGTGTGATTAGGTGCATGATGCTCTCGCCTGGGAGTATTTGGCGGTTTCTCATCGCCTAATATCGTCCAGTGAATATGTTGCCTATTATCGAGGAGTAAAAATTTGGGCTGACGACAGTGAGATGGATGCACATGACCCGCGATTTACAACAGTTCTCAATTAATTCGAGCGGAAGAGATACAGCGGTCCGAGGCCATCTGACGACCGCTTCCATTCGTAAATAATCTGTGCTTGAGTCGAAACGTATGCGATGTTTTTTGAAAGAAAGGAATGGACGAGTACCGACGATAAACTGACATTTCACGCGTATATCGCATCGATTGTCTATCTCGCATTCGAACTGCTACCCAAATGAAACTAAGAAAATATACGATAACTCAAAAACAATTTATTCGTTAAGTTGTTCTCGAAGCATTTCCCGTATTCCATCGTTCCAAGTTATATTATACCATGACAAAGAGCACGATGTCGCGTGAAATCGCGATAGAACACGGCAGACCGGTACCAGACCTCGCAAGGAAGTGATAACGACGAGCGAAGAGTGCGGAGAGAAGGGAAGAATCGTGATACGTTCGACATCGGCCGTTTTTACACGATAACCCTTCAACCTGGCGGACCAAGAAGAAGGTAGCGGCTCGGCGGCGATGCAGGGCAAGGAGAGCCCCGTTGGGTCCAACACCCAGGAGACCCATCAGTACGTCGGCCCGTATCGGTTGGAAAAGACCTTGGGAAAAGGCCAGACTGGTGGGTGGTGCACGGTCTCTCCCTCCACCCCCCTCTCTCTCTCTCTCTCTCTCTCTCTCTCTCCCCCTCTATTGCAAATCTCCGTTGCAATCGTTATTGAGATCGACGATAGCCACAGGAATGTCTAATCAAATCAAGTCAGAATGCGGCGTTTAATCAAGTTCTGCATATTCGAAGGGATATAAGTATGAGATCTCGCACACGCGCTTTTCAGTGATAGAGTTTCGAAGCAACTGTTTTCTAATAGGAAATACTGAATTCACCAAACAATTGAGGTTCAAACTTTAGATACGTTGGTCGATACAAATTTGCCGCGAAACTTTCGCGGGACTTGAAGGTCTGCGGCATATTGTGACATAAAACACGTGTGTAATTCTCACGGATTATCTCGCTGCCCACGCAACCTTCCTAAACGAGGATATATTTTTCATGTCTCTTGAATCTATTTGAGGGATTGAGAATTCTGTTATCGCAATGACACAATGAGAATGGAGAGAAAAATTTGAAACATTTAAATGATGATAACTAACGCGAGTTATCGCGGCACAACGATAATGGGATCGAATCGAAGCCATTCCGCGGCCGTGCACGACAAGACTACTAGCCTTACGGCATCGTTGCATTTTCGTGAGCCAGCCGTTCAATTCGGATTAGCTCACAGCGTAACTGTGACACGTGCAAATTCTCGGAGAATTAGATATACACATTATATATATATATATATATATACATATATGTAACTTTCATCGAGGGGGTACATCGAGAAGGCTCGAAAAACAATCGATATTTTGAATATATTGTTGCGCATACATATTTACGAAAGGTAACGCTGTAAACTTGTACAAGTTTTCTTCTGCAAGCAATTCGTAAGTAATCGCAATTTAACTTACAATGTGTGTTGCAACATATTTATATTCTTTTTCAGAATATATTCAAAAATAAATCAGAATAATTAAAGAGATTAGATAAAAAGCTTTTCGCGATATAAATTATAAGAAAAATAAATGAAAGAACTATGCAAATGTTTTACGAAAAGCTCGGGTACGTAAAGATTTGAAGAAAGGGGGGGAATCTAATGCCACACTAATTTGCTCTCACTTCGAAGGCATTCGATGCTATTATACGATCGATACTGACATCGTACTAATTATGCCATATAATGGTTATATAGGTATAGGCAGAGAATTAGAAACGTTTTGAACTTGAATGAAATGTAATCGCAGCGGTATCCCTATAATAATAATATTTCATACCTAAAATATATTAGAAAATTACATTTGTTTATCGCTACATAATTATAAGTTGATAGAATCAGATTATATTCTCTCCAAGAGTCGCTGAAGGGCGTGAACCACTAAAAGAACATAAAAGAAGCCGAAGAAAACGATGAAAGGGGGAGGGAAAAAAGGAAGATTTAATTTCTAAATATCTCTCCGTTCTTGAACTCCGCTCTAGGTATAACTCGGAACTTTGTACTCTAATAACAAATGTGGTTACGGTTCAAAGTTTAAGAGCTCTCCCGCTTTCTGCCACGTTCGCTGTACGAAAAAGAACTCGACGACAATTGTAAATCTTTATGAAGCAGTTAATAAGCGTTTTTAATTAAATGCCACCAGTCCAGGAGGACTGGAAAGTAATAACGTCGACGACAACAAACGTATACCAAAGAAAAAAAAAATTCGCCGATTTGCGTGCGCGTGTGTACTCCGCGTGGCGTTCGGCGTAGAAACACGGGGAAGTAAATTAGCAATATTAAGATGAGACATTCTTCTCTCTTTCAGTGAGCACTTTTTACTTTTTATTCATCTTCTGTTCAGATAGAATATCTAGAAATGCAAGTCTCGATACACAGATGCGAGGCTTAAATAGAAATTTGGTTCTTCGATCAACACGTAATTTCGTGAAAGCTCGTTAATGAATTCACGGCTCGGCTTTCAGCGGATGAGTCTCGTGGTGGTCATTTCCTCTGGCGGACTATATCGATCCCATATGCATCTCGAAAGGGGTGCATGCTCCGGCACGTGACAATACGGCACGTTAATCATACGAATGAATTCCTCTCCACGCTTTGAATTCTGTGACCCACACGCAGGCGAGGTAATGAAATTGCCGCTCATGCTCGCGACATAAGTGTGCGCGGTTTGAATTATAACCGGCGCGGACGGCGGAATCGATGAAGACGTTAGAAAGAAGAATATATAACCGCTTGCGATGGTTACGATGATTCTCGCGGGAACAAAGATGCTAAAAACGCGATAAGTACCTCGGTACCTGTTAAGCTTGGTGGGTGAATTGTAAATTGTAATTGTTAAAAAAAAAACGATGAATCGGCATTACGTTGACGTATATTCGGGCAACGCTTTAACCGCCAAGTATTTTTTTTTAGATATAAAACTTATCTTTTGCTTCTTGTCACGTATTCGAAGCAGATTCGAGATTAAATATATTAATGTCGTAAATTTAAATACTAGAAAGATTCATCGTCAAAACTTTCAGCTGTTCGATATACTAACAAAAGACATAACTCGTTTAAATGCACGAGTTATGCACCTAAAATTTAATCTTGACAAATATATATGTTTTAAATTGCGTACGACGGGTCCGAAGGTTTCTCTCTGAAAATGCATATGCTATCGACACCGTTAAATCATGGATGACGTAAATCGTTTGGGGGAAGTGCACTTTAACTCTCGATGGTCTCAATAGCCGCTAATGCAATTGCCGCACCGGTTTTGACGGGAAACGTCGCGTCCGTTTAATTCCATAGGAATTGTCATCTCGTCAATCACTGACGAGACTTAATCTCACGCATTTCGATTGAGAATGGCTGAAAGATGACCATCGATCATAAAAAGTGTCTTGGACTATTTATAACATTCTAGCGTAACGTCACAGAAACGTAACATATTTTTAGATGATATTTAAATATGTGCACGTGCGATACAGATTCAGAGAAGCTGACGCGTACGTGAAAAATTATTTTTCACTCGAGTAATCAAAACACGTTGACCACTTCGCGAGAATCGAATTCCTGCTCCTTTAATCCTTCGGATAGACGCGACTCGTTAGGAGGATTCTTAATTGCTCTCCATCGTCGATTCACAACGAACCAGTTTCTTTCTGTATTTTTCTTTTTTTCTTCTTCCCTTCGCTTATCTGCTTAAGCCATGTATTATACAGCCGTCGTAGCGCAGCCATTTAAGTGGATAAAGACATTGTATGGCGCGACTCGTCGTCGACTTCCGACAGCGATTTAATAAACCAATTTTGTGCCAACCTCATAAATCCCATTTTTGCATTGGCTCTTCTTCTTCAAGCGTATTTTTTATCGCTTGTCGTTATAAAGGTTCGTAAATCTGATCTGTTGGGCGTATATACAATTGTAATTATGCTTCGTAATTTGTCTCTAATGTGACACGCGTAATTCATATTACTGTCGAGTAGATATAGCTACAAAACGATGCGATGTGATAGGATCCGCAAGAATTTAATCGACAAAACATTTCTCGTGACTGTAACGGGCATTTTGTATCACACACGAATTAACATGCGCTTGATTAAAGCAACGTTATCAGGTATTCATACGTTACCGCGAATTCGGCCGATACAATAGCGCGTAATTAGGAATATATTGTGAGGAGCCTACACGGAGCGAATAATAACAAATCGATACATTTGTATTTGATTAACTTGAAATTGTTAATATATTTCAGAATACTACATAACAAATTGATAAAATTACGACTGCTCGACGCTTTTTCGTAGAAACCTAAACCGCCAACGCTGTCAAACTTCTCACAATTTACCAAGTGGAAAAAATACCAAATTGCTCGAGTAAAACCATTGTGTTTGTCTGTCCGGGATAATAGTGTTTACATATCATCGCATACTCGAGAAATAACTCAATCCCCAAGTAATTTGTGCACGTTCCGGACTGATGGCTTGATCGATATTTTTATCATTTTTGATGTTCAATTATGACCGCAAAATCGTGGCAAATTAATAAAAATTAAAAATAATATTTTGAAATTACGTTAAAGTAGAAAATAAAATAATAATTCGAATTATCTCTATCATAGTGTTATATCATCATAGAGATCAAACAGTTTTAATAATTAATAATATAAGGAAACTTTGTCGACTTTTGATATATGCTCGCATAAGATAAATATTTTAATAGTTTTTTTTTAATTTTAGGTTTAGTTAAACTCGGCGTGCATTGTGTGTTGGGCAAGAAGGTGGCGATCAAGATTATCAACCGCGAAAAGCTTTCGGAGTCCGTGTTGATGAAAGTGGAGCGTGAGATCGCCATTATGAAACTGATCGACCATCCGCATGTGCTCGGCCTCTCGGATGTGTATGAAAACAAAAAATATCTGTAAGCATTATTGATGAAAATGTGAAACTTTAAAGTTATAATAAACGTCACGTTTATCACATTTTATATGTTCTTTCAAGATATCTTGTTTTGGAACATGTCTCGGGCGGGGAGCTGTTCGATTATTTGGTTAAAAAGAGCAGACTGACCCCGAAGGAAGCAAGGAGATTTTTTCGACAAATAATTTCTGCATTAGATTTTTGTCACAGTCATAATATATGGTGAGTCGCGTGTATTGTCGTTATAATTGTCCATCCACGAAAACATTCGGACTTACACATTTGATTTTGTTATTACTTTTAGCCACAGAGATTTGAAGCCTGAGAACTTGTTGCTCGACGAGAAGAATAACATTAAGATAGCGGATTTCGGAATGGCGTCCTTACAACCTGCGGGCTCTATGCTGGAGACCAGTTGCGGATCACCTCATTACGCTTGCCCCGAAGTCATTAGAGTGAGAGCTCTTAATTACAACCAATTTGCGAATATCAAATTACATGTAGAAATGATATATTAAGTGAGTAACAGCTATTTGAGCTCAACGTCATAGAACCATTTGCTTCCTTTTAACAGGGTGAGAAGTACGACGGTAGAAAGGCGGATGTGTGGTCCTGTGGGGTAATACTTTACGCGCTTCTGGTAGGCGCCTTACCCTTCGACGACGACAATCTGAGAAAATTGTTGGAGAAAGTTAAGCGCGGATTGTTTTACATACCGCATTTTGTGCCACCCGAGTGTCAGAATTTGCTTAGAGGCATGATAGAGGTTGATCCCGAGAAAAGATTGACGGTAAGACGCTTTTTATCTCTTTCTAGTTTGCAATATTCTCTCTCTCTCTCTCTCTCTCTCTCTCTCTCTCTCTCTCTCTCTCTAAATATGTTAATATCAAATGTATTTACAAACGCCAAGACATTTTCTTTTTAAATAAAGCAATGTTAATTTTTTTTAGTTAACAGAAATAAATAGGCATATTTGGGTAACGGCGGCGGGTAAGGGCGAATTGGAATTAGAACTGTCGATGATGGATGTAGTGCAGACGCACGTTATTCCGTCCGTGGAAGCGATCGATCCCGACGTGCTACAGGCGATCGCTAGTCTTGGTTGCTTCAAGGAACGCGACAAACTCATTCAAGAGCTGCTCAGTCCAAAGTAAGATAAGACTTAAGACTCCTCTCTCATAGAAAGACTTTGAATTTAGTTTCCGTACGTTTGATTGTAAGTGTTGGAAAAGTATTGAGAAAAGTAACTGTGGGATCTGATTTGCGTAAATGTTCTTTCAGCCACAACACGGAGAAGGTGATATACTTCCTGCTGTTAGAGAGAAAGCGAAGAAGACCGGCGTGTGAGGACGAGCTCGAGGTGATGAGAGGTGGCATGCGAGGATCCGCGGGACAATTAGAGGCCGATCCGCCAAGAAAACGGGTGGATACGTGTAGAGTGAACGGAAGTACCGCGCTCAATCTCGGACAGATCAGTCATGGCTCGCCTTTGACGCCCAGAAGACAGTCCAGGTAAATTCACGTGAATTCGAATGGAGAGAATTAAAAATGTTACGTGACAGATCGTTTTTATATTTTATTTTATCGTCTTGTTGCGTGAAGAACGAAATCGAGAATATCCCGATTGCCGCGTGTTCTGCTCGTTCCGATAAAACTAATGCGTCAACCGTACTCAACGAGAACGTGCTGTAAGGGCAAGCAGCCGCAAGCAGCTGTGCCGGCTGTGCGTTTCGCTTCAAACTGGCCAGCAATCGCGTGACAACGTCAGTTATCCGTAAATGTCGCGTGCACCGTATCACATGTCTCCCCGCGTTATTTTTCCTCCCTTTTTTTCGTCGATCCTGCATTTACAAGCCTGAATTCACGTTAGGTGCGAATTACATTTTGATTTGTTTATTTCCCATTCGATTACATATTATATTATATACCAACAAAATTTCAATCGAAGCATCTAATTTTCTTCGTGATTTAAAGTGGATGATTCCGTTAATTAAATCGTTAATTATTTGCAGCACGAGACATCACGCGCGTCGATCACCGAGCACAGGTGGATGTCACACTCATGCGTCTCATTCGCACACGTCGACGCCGGGCAGCTCGCCGTTGCATGCACCTGCTGGTCTGCTAAGTCCCCACAGAGCGATGCCGACGTCGCACGTGGGCCAGACAATCGCATGCGGTGCACACAGATTGTCCATTGGTGGCAGTACCACCGCTACTATTGCCGGAAACGGCGGCAGTCCCACGAGTCAAAGCGTCCCGACGCCGACGCCGGCACTCGCCAACGTCGGTATTGAACTCAATGATGTACAGCCTGGTAAGTTTGTTATAAATATTATCCTTAAAATTGTATCTCTTACTCTTACTTTGAAAATATTGTCCCACTTGTTCGCCCTACTCTATATCGGTAAAATATAATAATTCAAATAATTCGTGCACTATTTTAAAATATTTTAACATATTATACTGTTGCATGTTTGGTAGTATCGCTGTAAAAATTTAACACTAACACAGGAGTAACGCGGAACTCTCTTCAAACATTTTCAAATTTTGAACACTTTATATGTGTATGTGCGTGAAGGAAAGCGCGCGCGCGCGTGTGTGTGTGTGTGTTTCATATACCTACATATATATATGCACAGTTGTGGACTACATGTATCGGTATTGTACAACATCGATAATCACTTAAGTTAACTGTTGCTCTTAAAGACTACTACCCCGTAAGCATGGCATAGCAGATTGTATTACGCTAAGTGCTCTCGTATTTATCGCTTAGCCGCGAGATTGTGTATCAATGTTTAAATAGAATCCTCGATGTGATTATATAGTATCTTACGTTTAACTGAACATTATTTTGATTTACATTTAGGACTCGCGTTATAATTAAACGAAATTGCGTAATTTTGCCTCACGCGACAGCTTTCCTTCTTATTTCGATCAACCATCACCTCTACTTCCAACAGAAATTTCGAAAGATAACTGATTAATTAAAGAGAAAGAGTAAGCAAACTTTTTAGCGCTTTTAAGATAAGTCAAGTATGTTTTTTAAGATATGGCTCGTTTCGCAGTAGTTGCGGTCGGCGTTACACCGCCGGGCTCTCCTCACACGGGAGCGGGATCTGGAGCTCATCACTGGAGATCGCGATTAACCACGATCAAGAATTCTTTCCTGGGCAGCCCCAGATTTCATCGTCGTAAATTGCTCACTAGTACCGAGGAGGTATGTGTTGTAACAGATATAATAAAAATATAATTTATTCCTTGTCGTTACACATATATTTAATATTCAAATTAATCACAATACACATCAGAGTTATTAGTGAAAATCGCAGTTTTTCAGTCAGCGCGAGATTTAGTTTTTTTCCTTAACAAAAATCAAATATCGATGGATGTTTCTGTAATTGATGAAATTCTCCTAAGCGAAGATTAATTGAAAATTCAGCGTAGTATATAGCGCAGTAGGTGATTTATACTGTATTTTAATGTGTTGGTTTATCATCAAGTATCTATTGAATATTATAGGTACATCTCACGCCGGATTCTTCGCCGGAACTTACGAAAAAATCATGGTTCGGTAGTTTGATGACCACGGAGAAAGACGAAACCTTCACCGTTTTAGTCAAGGGGAAACCGCTAGCCAGTGTAAAAGCCGATCTGATTCATGCTTTTTTATCGGTGAGTGTACCTCGAAGCCTATTATCCGTTTTGGAATAAGTCTTGGAAGTATAAGCTTTAAATGAAGTAATAACTACTATTCATTTAAAAGAAATAATATTCATGTTTGCGAGAATTGCAATCACAGGCGAAGCATTCGATAAAATTTGTTAAAGCATTTGTTAAAAATCTCTAATAGAATATATAAAAGGAATTTAATAATATATGTTTACGTGTAAGGTTTTCAGAATATTTTCTGTTAGAACTTTATTAGAATTTAATTCTAATTATACCAATTCGATTGACCTCTCTTTGATATATTCAATTTGGCATAAACTGAACGGTTGCAGATAGCAGAATTATCTCATAGCGTGAGCTCGCCAATGTCGTTCAGAGTAGAATACAAAAGAGGTAGTACCGCACCAGCCATGTTCCAGAGACAAGTGCGATTTCAAGTTGATATTAGCGCGATTTCGAAGCAGCCGAATGAGCCCCTCTTCGCCATCACCTTCACATTACTGAGCGGTAAGCGCGCATAGTCATGTTTTCTTACTACCTTCTCTTCGATTAGAAAAATTAGAATTCTCATCATTCTTAAATCAAACATAGCACAAAAAAAGCCAAGGAACGGAAAAGCCAAAAGTTTAAACTGAAGCGTTCTTGGAGAAGTACGAAGCCTTCGCGAAAATATGCCGGTAGATATGGTAGATCGCCTCGCTCTTAAGCGCTTGGCAGTCATCCAAGCGCAACTAGATCGATGTTACCTTGACACGTACAGCTAATATATACAAATATACATGTAATTTTATGTTCTATCCGTATATGTATATTCTACGTTCGGTATGTCGACACCATAGATTCCGACCTTTTTTCTGACGAGTCGTTTAGTTTCTTACGGCCGACGAGAACAAGCCGGAGTCGCTCGGCTCATAAATTTAGTCTGTCAGAAACACCCTACGTGAAATCCAACTATATTTTAATAAGCAAAAGCAATCTTCACTCGAGGCGCAATTTAAAAACGCTAATTTTCGAGGAAATCATATTAATCCTTGATGGTACATTTTTTATAGAATAGTGGAATTTTTTCTTTATAAAAAAAAAAAAAAAAAAAAAAAACTATAGATATTGTCAAAGTAAGGGTCAGACATTAAAGTCAATTCGATGTTTGCAGGAAACATCCGAAGATTCAGGCGAGTATGCGAGCATATTCAATCTCAGGTGTGTTCGAGAAATGTGGGTATGAACTTGGGAGGACAAAGCAGAGCCGCGCCTCCTAGTCCGAGGGCCTCGAGAAAATTCACCACAGAGATGAGTGAGAGTTCGAGCTGCGGAAGCGACACTAGTGAACGACTCTTTCTCAATCCTCATCCAGCTACCAGACAGGTAGTCTGTTTCAACAAGGTAGCGCATCATCCCCATCATCTTCATCTTCATTATCATTGTCATAATAATTAATCATTACTACTCTTTTATTTCTAGATCGTTCATTTCTCAAATGAAAATTCTCGTTAAGTTAGTTTCATAAAACCCCACATCGTTCCTTTTTCATTCATAATCTAGATTAACGTTATCTAGGTTGTCCGCTTGTTGTACGTGAATTTGAATAAATCGCTTTTTTAAATTTTATTTGTAGAAAATTCAAATCTTTTTTATTTTATTTTATTTTATTTTATTTAAGGAGCTACTGTAGAGATTTGCACGGGATAGCAAATGTTAGGAGAGAGCTATCACCGATTAACGAAATAACGAAGCATCGTATCGGTTTCAGATCGATTCGGACATCGAGTCGGATACATCTGTATTCGACGTGAAGTCGCCGACCCGCGAGAACGGTAGAAGAAGCTCGACATCGACGAACAATAACAATGCTCTGTCGGGCGATACGACACCGACGCCAGGCAGCCCGCCAAAAGCGGTGCGAAGTAACTCAGAGAGCCAAAACACGCCCGAGAAGAAATGTGTGACCACAATGAGTGGCAACAACATAGCGTGATACTACCAGAACCTTCGCTTCGAGTTTCGATCAAGTCTGAAAAGCCTATGGGACAGCGCTCAGAGATTCTGGTGAGGTTTCCTCTGACGAACGCTTGCAACGCTTTAACTGAACTGCAGAAAATGCGTGAGACACATCTGTATGCGTATAATGCGACATTGCAACAAATAAGATTGAGGTCTAACATCATAAATCTTACCGTCAGCAGTAGTAACAAGAAAATAGAAAGACGACAATGTGGATAGCGCGCTTATTTGCGTTGTTTAATTCGAAACATCGAAACCATTAGTGCGAGCTCCGGATAAAGTTTTCATTCTCAAAGTAAAATATTTAATTTTGTTTCAAAAGATACACGTGTAAAAATTTTCCTCAAATAACTCAAAATTTAACGCTAGAAGCGATATTAAATGCAAACATCCTATTCTGCGTTCGTAAGCTAAATGGATCTTCGAGAGAGAGAGAGAGAGAGAGAGAGAGAGAGAGAGAGAGAGAGAGAGACACTATTTCCAAATCACCTCCAGATCTAAAACCGCCGAATGTCATATATATTTCAATAAACAAGCCTACATAAAGAATTATGCATGAAGAGATTCACGATTACTCGAGAAGAGAAATGTAAAGTATATTTAAAAAAATGTGTTTCGTGCGAAACTTGAGTGCAATAATATAACGTTACTGTATTATTTCGCCCCCACATACAATGGGTATTACTGCAAAATTGCATCGCGCTGTGTTAAATTTGTGTTAACAAATGGTAATGTTGTGCTTGGGCATATTTTATTTATTAATTATACACGGGAAAAAAAATGAAGTTGCTTCAATTAAACGTCACGGGCTGCTGCCACAAGCGTATGTAGTTGATTCAATTGGATATTATTGGACCGAATATTTAAATTATTAAAACAATAATCTGATGTTTTAGGTTCATTCATATTGATGTTGCATCAATAAATTTTATCTCAAATAACACTAATGCTGTTGATACGTCATTTTTTTTCCGTGTAGAAAAAACCGTTGCTTGGAGAGCACCACATCGTTACCCCATATATATTAGAAATTATTTGTCTCGAAAGTTATAATTTTTATTCGCTCATCGCACAATTTTTTTGCTTACAATTTCATTACATCAATTTCCTTCTAGCAGCAATCTATTCCAACAACGCACCGCATATATTCTGACAACATAAATCTAACAACATTGACAAGAGACACGAGGTAGGCGCGTAGAATGCCTCAAGAATTTTTTTTTACATATGACGGAAAAGAAAACAAATTAGAAAGAGAGAGGTACAAAGAAAGGTTTCCGACTAATAAAAGATATTAATAATAAATATACACGCAAGTCTCATGATCGTACGAAGCATAGATGATCGTTTGCTTTTTGCAAGATGAGAAAAGCGGAGGACGATCAAATCAACCATGGCATGCAAAACCCGTCGCAAAGTGAATTAAAAGCTAACGCGTTGCTGAATGTAAAACTCATATAGAAAAAAAAAAAAAAATATATATATATATATATATAGGTATTACAAAAGCAGTCAAAACTGCGCTTTTTTAAGCGATATAAGGAATAAGTAGTAAAGTTATTCTCAACACAGACATATCTCAAAATTGTCCCTATTGGCTTCTTAATAAAAAGCGATATGAGGCGTATAAATACGCGTCATCATTTTTAAGCGAAGGTTTGTTATATAAGACTACATCGTGATATATGTTTACGAAGAAAGACTAGATAAAGTAACGGAGAAAATAACGAGCGTTGAGCGCCCGGATATTCTCGGAGATGAATATCTTAAAATCGATCGATTTTCTGAGAGTACAATGTGGAAAAGAAATTGTCCTTGATGATAATCCAATGACGCGATCTTCAAAGTTTACACGATTAGGATTAGATTAGTAGGTGAGAGCGAAAGTGCATAAATGTTCGCACAAATCAAAATTGTGATTTTTTTAGCGCGCGTTAGATCCCCCAATTAGGCGCTCTCGCTTCAGATATTACCTACGTATTATATCGCGCATGTGGCGACTCGTTCCTATATATAAATATCTCCGAGGGCTATATCTTTATAATCGATTAACGATACGGAAGAAGAGAACTCTAACAATCTACTTTTTTCCGTTGCATTTCGGAGTGGCAAAATTTCGCGAGATGCAAAACGCGGCGGTGTTTTTCAGTTAAAGGCTCAGCTAACGGCAGACACATTGTCATTCTGCATTATCAAGAAAAAATACGTAATGTTATAAAAGGGATTTAGCTGGATACGTATCGAAAATACTATTATGTACGATGAAAAATGCGTGGGTGAAATTTTATGAAAAGTCGTTGATCCTTAACTATTTTCAATTTTTATATAGTCGCTCCTATTATTATAGTGACACACAGACATTTAACAGCGACTTGAAGCTAACGAGGGAATTATCTAGAGTATTATTTATATGCAAAAACACCAAATCATAGATGAAACGTATAAATGTTTTTTTTTCTCCATCGCTTTCCGAAAACCCAATAATTTTTTTTTATTGTTGCAAAAATAAATCATGACGATTCGATATGGCCAAAGACAGAACAAGCATTAATATCAGTAGTTGAAGATTAAACATATACAAAAGTTGGTAAATTATCCACGAGTGTGTCATTCGTTGATTGTATAGGATAATTATAACGAGAAAAACGGAGACGGATATCATTACTCAAATATATAGATGCGATTAATCCGCAATGGAAAAGCCTTCGTTACCTTCCGTGCGCATTATTCGCAGAAAGAATAATGGTATCCTCTGAAATCGCTTGATAGCGTAAATTAATTAATCAATTTTCTGTTTGATATTTTTTACGTTGAAAAGTCAGACTTTGCAAGAAATTGTTTATTACACATACGAGAGCAAAAATAATAGAAAGCGAGAGAGAGAGAGAGAGGGGGGGGGGAAGAGAGAGCAAGTGAGCGTTTAGGTACATATATGAGAAAAAATAAGAAGGGAATGAACGTTATGGTTACACATAGAAAATGAATGTGAATTTAGTATTAACAATACAAACACCACACACACACACACACACGCGCGCGCGCGCGTTCCACTACGATAATTAAAATTAGCATAAGCTTGCAATTATCTATTTACTAATTGCGGTTAAATAAAACTACTTATACAGTGCGTAAGTATATTATAATAAGAAAATGGGAGGAGGGACGGAGTAGTGGGTGGACGGACGTGGTTAGAGAAAGAGAGAAAGGGGATATATATAAAACAAATTACCGGCCATATTAAATTAGGATTTTATATTGTGCGCAAGTCTGTGAGTCAAGAATGTGAGCTAAGGGAGGAAAGCTAAAGCAACTTTGGTATGCAAATCCATATTAACAATTCAAGCGAATTACAATACAGTTCTGCGTGTAAAGATATAAATTTCGTAACAAATCTGTCTCCTATTTCGTAAAAGGCAAACTGAGGGGAATCCGCGTGATATTTTCGTAGGTCGATCCAGAGCGCGCTAGAGCGATACTTGGCGAATGTATTATAAGTAGATGATACGAGGTTGCATCGATCCTCGACGAAATATCTCGCCGATAGCTGTGCCGCTGACGTAACATCGCAAAGTCTCTTGTACGAAAGAAAGAACAGAAGATTACTCGCTATCTCTTAACGTGTCTCCGACTTATTTTTCGATTCGCTTTTGCGCGCCGTGCCGCGCCATGATGCCGCGATCTAGCGTGCGAGCGATCACGCGATCGGTCCTCAATGTCCTCGCATGCATGCGTATGTAGTATGTACGTGCGAGATCGTTACCCGGCCGAAGAATTTGCTTAAGAGCGACGACGTAGCACGAGAGAGTGCGAATATCGATCGCGTCACTGCACAGCCAAATGCGATTTTGAGACTTGCAATTTATTCAACCGGCAACGACAAGGTCGTTCAGAAGGTATCTTCCTCGCGAAATGGTTAATAAGTTTCGAACTTCGCAACCGTCTCTTCGCCGTCATGCATGTCGCGTTCGCGCCGATCTCTTTCCGCTGAATCATGAAATATCGGTGATAATGAGTTAATGACGAATGAACGTACGCTTTCCCGATAGCTTGGAGCTCGCGCGCGGATCGTAGCAAAATTGTCTCGCCGCGCCGCAAGAAAGGCGCGTAGGTCTGCAGGCATTATACAAATTCCCGACGTACCGTACTTTTAAGGCATTATAAGCTAGGTTGAATATAGAAAATTTTTATACGATTTATAAGACAATGCAATTTGCGCATGCGATCAATTAATTTATTATACACGCACGTTTCCTTGTTGGCGTTTTTGTTAAATGTGCACTATATTCTTCGGGGCGCGGTGTGTCCCGCGGCCATCCCGCGCTGACCGTGAGTATCGCGAGTGCCGTCGTGATCGAAGCGTGTCGGGCGACAGTGATACAACCCTCTGAGTTCCAAACATTATTTTCTTCCAAATCAAATGTGTCTTATATTTAATTAGGTTGAGAATAATTCGTGAAACACCAAAAATAAGATAATAAAAAAATTCTCACTCTCTTTGATTCTTACGGGCATGCACAAGATCGCGATGTTGGGCATGTATTCTAAATGTATATATATATATATATATATATATATATATATATATATATGTATGTAGGACTCAGAGGGAAAAATAAGTAAATGGCGACGGGAATCGTACGCGGGTCGCCGCGACGTGCTCCGCGCCTCGCGTCGTCCTCGCATTTCCTCGAGGACGCGTCTTACCTATTGTAAGATAGCTCTCGTCTCCAAGTGAAAAATTCCGCGTGGTTAATTATTATTATCATGCTTCTCCCTATTATATCGCGCGCATCCATATAATAATAATATTTATCGTGCGTCTTTCGTAATCTCTCGGCGCGACCGTCGCGCCTATCGTGTGTACCTATCTCTTTGACTGTCACTTTGATCTTTCGTAGCCGCGACAAACGACGAGGTCCAATTAGTTTTAGCCAAGATTTAGTGAAAGCGGGGAAGAAGAAGAGCTCACCAAATATTCATGATATCGAAGTTAATCTAGGCAACAAGAATGTCGAAGAGATGTCCTCGTTTTCAGACATCCAAAGTCTGAGTTGTCTAGGAAGTCGCGTTGCGATTTGCGATGCAAACTGACCGCGACTAGGAACGCTTCTTTTTACGGTTACATCGCGTCACGCTTATCGGTTGCAAGTTGCAACCGATGCACCACCAATATCGCACTGATCGCCGGGTCTTATAAACCAGCACGTACCTCTTGTCCTCTTATCAT